AATTTTTTATCAAAACATAGAAATATAAAAATATAAGTCTATATATTTATTATTGTTGACTTGACGCAAGATTTACAAGAAGAATAAGTCTACTTATAGTTGAAAAACAACATCTTATATAATTTCTAAATGTTAATTTTTTTTTAAACTGGTCGTATATTATATTAACTAAATAGTTTATCTATATTTTAAACAAAAATTATAATAAATATATCTTTATATTTCAAACAAAAAATGCAATCTCTTAACTATTGACCTATAGAAAATAAAAGTTATTGTTTATAGTTTTTCGCGTTTTTTTTTGTTAACATTTTTCATAGAAATCTTTTGAGTATAATTTAGACATTACAATGGTATTTTTTTTTTTTAATTTTCATTGAACTAATCATAACTAAAATTCATTCAAACGTAAAGTCGACAGGAAATCTGTCAACTTATGAAAAGTGTCGCTTGACAAAGGTTATATATATTTATATATAACCTTTATCAAGACCTAGTGTTATGTATATATATATATATATATATATATATATATATATATATATATATATATATATATATATATATATATATATATATATATATATATATATATGTATATATATATATATATATATATATACATGTATATATATATATATATATATATATATATATATATATATATATATATATATATATATATATATATATATATATATATATATATATATATATATGTATATATATATATATGTATATATATATATATGTATATATATGTATATATATATATATATATGTATATATATACATATATATATAAATATGTATATATATAGATATATATATACAGTAGCTTTCATAAATTTAGACGCATTCATTTTTTTTTCATATATGTAAGAAAATACTCAAAATAAAAATAAAATAAAAGTTCTACCGCTATGTTTGATATATAATTTAAAAGAGGAAATGAAACTCTATTATAGAGTACCTTAATTTTTTTTTACAGGATGTTTATTACTCATTCTATACCGATTAACACAAAAAAGTTAATTGATAAACTTGATTTTATTTTGTTCATAAATTTAGACGCACAATTAAAAAAGTCTTATATCTTGTTAATTGATAGTTAATTAGTAGTTTTTTTCTCATATTTCTCATTAATAGGCTTAAATTAATTGATTTTGTCAAAAAACCTTATATAAATATGACTTACCTGGAATTAGTTAATCATTGTTTAATAAATAAACAAAAGTTAAGTTAGTTTTGCACTAAAAAGACGCGAAAAATGGGCAAAAGACGTATCACTCAAGGTGAAAGATGGCAAATTATTGCGCACATCAAAGAAGGAACCAAAAGTAATAGAGAAATCGCCAAGTTAATTGGAGTTTCTGAGAAATGCGTTCGGACAACAAAACAAAACTTTCTTCACACTGGTGGTGCCAGAGAGAAAACGAGGCCAGGTAGACCCTTGTCAACCACGAGAAAGGACGATAGTGTTCTTTTTAGAGCTGTCAGAGCTAATCCAAGAATTAGTTACAAAGAATTGACCACAGAATTCAATACAACGCGAAATACATCTATTTCTCAAAGCACAGTCCGCCGAATACTTATCAAATACAAGATTGGAGTCTACACTGCTTTGAAGAAACCGCTTCTGCGTCCATATGATAAACAAAGGAGACTAGAATGGTGTCGTGAAAGAAGGTATTGGACAATAGATCAATGGGAAAACATTATGTGGAGTGATGAGAGTAACTTTGAGCTTATCAATCGCAAATCTAACATAACAGTCAAAAGAATGGCTCATGAAAAGTATTATGCCAGGTACATTAGACCAACTGTACAAAGTGGAGGAGGCTCAATAGGAATCTGGTCATGCTTCAATTACAAAGGTGTTGGTATGTGCCAAACATACACCGGAAGAATCAACTCCAGAATATACGTAGAAGTACTGGAAAACAACCTAATTCCATCAATTGACCTGCTTATGCTCAATGATAAACCATGGAAACTTCAACAAGATAGCACTACTGCACATACTGCATACTATACAAAGGAGTGGTTCAACGATAATAATATCATGACAATTCCGTGGCCTCCATATTCACCTGATTTGAACCCGATTGAAAACATTTGGGCTTGGATTGACCGTAAATTAGCAAAGGTTCAAATTTCCACACTTGGTCAGCTGAAGGAATTCCTTAAGGAGACCTGGTATGGGGTCCCAGAAGCGATGTGCAAAAATCTTGTTGAGTCTATGCCTAGAAGAGTTCTTAGTTGTATTAAAGCAAAAGGCGGATACACAAAATATTGATTAGTTCATAAATTACGCCTTCTAATGAATCGTGCGTCTAAATTTATGAATAATTTTTTTTGTCTAATTTTTTTAATACCATGTAGTTGTACCTAATTATTACTTAGTATTTCATTTTTTTTGTAAACTTTTTTTAAATTTTGTATTCTGTATGTATTTATCTGATAAATAGAAAAAAAACTAAACCGAAATCTTTTTTCGTCATTGTTTTATCGTTAAAAAACTAAAAATTTCTATTCTCAAATACGAGTGCGTCTAAATTTTTGAAAACCACTGTATATATATACATATATATCTTATAGTGCTGAGTTAGGTGAGCATGATGATGTCATACTCACCTAATGTCAAATAGCCTGCTGCCGGGGGCTTCAGTACATACATTGACTGACAAATAGCCTGACTCGCCGTGGAATTCTGCTACATCGACTGAGGGTTTGGTATGGGTCAGCAACATTTTCATTCATTTTTCTTTGTTTTCCCTCATCGTTTTCTAAAAACGCTCACTTAATTTAGGCTAGAAAAAAAAGTGAGCAATTGCGCATATAAATATGCTATAGTAGATATATATATATATTTCCTATTAGATTCTTAAAGAATTCCCAAGTATCAATTGCATAGTAATATGATTGCATGTTGAGTGGCAGGAATACAAACTTAAAATTCTGGAATATGCTAAATCGAAGTCATCATTGAATACTAAGGGAGGTCGATTTTTGAATTTAACCTACCTGTCTCTTCAGATAGCTAGATTTTTTCAGAGTAATAAAGAACTAATTAACAATTTTTTACAAAGTTAAATCAATTGTTTCACATTAAGGTTTATAAGTACAAATTTTTTTCATTTTTTTATGTCATTCATAATTCAAAAGAAATTTTTGCAAACGTGGGAAAAATTTATTTAAAAAACATTGTAAATAAGCAAGCAGTTAAACATAAATAAAAATTGCTTGCCTTAAAACTTGTTATGAAATGGCTTCAAAACATGGCAAACTACTAAAAAACTCATTGCAGGTTCAAAAATTGATTTGCCTGCTAGTTTTACCAAAATTTGGAGACATTTATAGATACTTTTCGTGCAATCCGAATTTAAAAACAAATTTGACATAGTTGATAAAACTCAAAAAGAACTTGTGGACATTTGGTTAAATGTAAACCTAAAAATGGCCTTGATAAAAAATGGTTCAATTTATTTAAAACTGGTCAAAATATATAACACATGAAACTTATTAATGGAAAAAAGTGCAAAAAAGGACCTCAAACTGCTGCATATAGTGTATTGGAAAACCTTTATGGTATATATTCCTGCAGATGTAATTTAGATGAAGTTCCCTGCTATGATGATAAAGTGAAATGCAAAAATTTAATTTGCAGTAAAAAATTTTTGAATGTGCTTGTCCTCCAGAGCAAGGTTAGTTGAGAATGTAACTTTTTCTAAAGCTTCTCAACATACTATGTACTACATAGTTTCTTTAAACTTCCATCTTAAAGTAGTTATATAAGATTTTTTCTGCAAGTTTCCTTTTGCTTAGAAATTTATGATATTTTGTTTTAATTTATTCAGATTCCACTTGAGGAAAGAGAATACATCAAAGACCAAAGGTCAAGAGTAAATATAAAAGGAAACATTCAGTTAGGTCCAATAAATTGGAGTGCTGTAAAAAAAGAAAAAAGAAAATTAGTAAAGCGTCCAAAAAACAATGCAGCTACTTCTTCTGATATTGGTTAATCATCTGCATTTAATATTTACATGGATTCTGATTCATTATAAAAATAAATTTAAATTTTTCTGAAGTAATAAAAATTAAAATTAAAAGCATATATATATATATATATATATATATATATATATTATATATATATATATATATATATATATATATATATATATATATATATATAACGATTTTATTTTTTAGGAAATATATTTTATAAATCGTAGAGCCAGAACTTACCTTTGAGAAAAAAAAAAAGGTGTTAAAATTTATAAAGTTAACGATTAAAAAATAAATAAAAACTATCAACCTTTTTTTTAATAATTCGATTTTAACAAAATCTTTGCATACTACTCAACTATACTACTAAACTAGTATTTTTTGTGGAAATTTTTTATAAGATATAAAAAATTTCCACAAATGTTTTTTACAACAATTAATTACAGCTTAATGTTTTGCTACATAAGACTGTTTAAATAAACTAATTGAAAAAGTTTTAGCGTAACGTAAATTGCAAAAGGTATATGTGAAATCATGAATACGTACGTATATATATATATATATATATATATATATATATATATATATATATATATATATATATATATATATATATATATATATATATATATATATATATATATATATAGCCTGCTAGGGGCTTCAGTTTATACATTGAATATCTTATAGCCAGCTGCAGCAAAGGAGTGCCATTACACAAACTCAGGGTTCGGCTTGGACAGCAATCCTTTTTTTCATTATTTTTAGTTTTCATCTGAAAATGCCATATGCTATAGAGATAGTAGTAATTTATTTTCTAAATACGCTTTAGTATATTCATTTATTCTGCATTCTTGAAAAAAATAATAAAAAGTGACATAATTTGTTGTCAAAATAATAATTTTTTACCTTTTGTACTCTAAAAGCCAACAATTCATAGAACTAAAAACTAAACAAAAAAACTTATAATTAATAAAGTAAAAACTTACTGTGAACAATTGCATGAAAACCTTTAACTTTTTGTGATTTTAACCAAGCAGATTCTGGATTTTCAGGTACAGTTAGTTCAGAAACCATTTTTACTTCTCCACATATTAAAAGTCCATAATGTCTTGTGAAATTAGATGCAATTCGTACCATGCTAGGACGAGAGGAAGGTTTTCCACTAAGACACATTAAATTTATTCGGAAAACTTTAACATGATCTTCCAATGGCTCTAAATGCCTGACAGCTCTAATAGCATTGATGTATGTAAAAGAGTTTCCTGATTCACCCCAATTGATCTAATTGAAAACCATTAAAATTACAAAACTGAAACAGTTAGTAGAGTCAAAGAAGCTACTTTTTTAAATTATTTTCAAGTTTGATGCGGTAGTGGTGTAGTGGTAGAGCGCTCGCTTCATAAACGAGTGGTTCTGAGTTCGATCCCCACCACGTCCCTGGTAGTACCGCGCTCAACTCGTTTCTCCGCGCAGCGGCCTTGCTTGTCAAGGTTCGTGTTTCAGAGTTATAGAGTTGAGAGAGGGTTATAACCTTAAATAAGTAGCCTCCTCGTCTGTAGTGGCCTTCTCGGCCTTGAGGAGGTGAAATAAAATAAAAAAAAAAAAAAAAAAAAAAAAGTTAAGTATTATTCTCATTCAACCCTTTAACTCCAGAGTCAGACACAGAAAAAAAAAAGTACTTTCAGAGATATGGTGGGTGTTGAATTTTGTACCTCTTGTTTAAAAAGTTAGCACTTCAAATATTACCACATTGTTTACACCACTAATAAGACACCACATTATTTAAACTACATTAACTAGGAGCATGTAAATTACATTAATCATGAATCAATTACAAGAATCAAAAACATTTTAAACTATAAAAGTGCTATAGTTTAAGTTTTGCAATACAAATACAAAACTGAAAAACAAAAATTTAAAAAGTCAAAATTGGGAAATGTATAGCTTTTATTATATTACCTATATAGCAAAAGTAAACATATTTTCAAAATGCTTTAATGTCTTCAATTGATTTGCTTTATACTTACTTTACAATTTATACCTTTGTAAGATTTTATAAGAATAAAAAATAAATTGTTTAATTTGTAAATGTGGCATAGGTTTATAAAAACTTTTAAAAAACTAATTTGTAAGCATCTCTCACCTTTGGTTTTCGATACTCAACAAATACATACAAAAGTATCACAATTCCAATGGCTGCCACAGCTGACCACCAACTGATTAAAAACATAAGAACGATACAAAGTCCAAAAGTAAGCAAAGATAACCATGAGTTGTAATACTTATAAGATGGTCTCCATGATGGAGATTTTGATATAGCTGCAACAAACCTAAATACACACACATGCATATATATACATATATATATATATAATATATATATATATATATATATATATATATATATATAACAATAATAATAATAATATACAATATTATAATAATAAATGTTAAATCTTTTACAGACAAAACAAGAAAGTTATATATACTCGATTAAGTCTAGTTTGGCTTTAAATAAGTTGAGATTTTTAACTTCCACTGTTTCAATTGGTAATTTGTTCAAGAATTTGACTGTGCAATTTGTAAAAAAACCATCACGATTTCGATTTAAATATTTCTTATCATTGAATAAATGATGTTTATTACCTTAAATGTTTGAACATGGACCAGAAGAATTTAAAGAGCACGAATGCTGAGAGGGTATTTTCCAAGTTATTTTTATATCATAATACCATTTGTACATTTGTATGAGATCTACTCATATTCTTCGTTGTTTTAAAGATGCCAATTTCATTTTTTTTAGTCTTTCATTGTATAATAGATGATGTAGCTCAGGTACAGATTTCGTAACTTGTTTTTGAATTTTTTCTAATATGTTTATATCTTTTCCAACATATGGACTTCATACCTGTATTGCAAATTTTAAATGCACCTGTATATAACTACAATACAGCAATTTTATTTGTTTATCTTTATACTTAAACAGCAAATTCATTAAAGAGATGCAGAACAAGGAATGATGACTTCATTTCAAGAAAAAAAATAATTATGTACAGAATTGTTGACAGGATTTTAAAACAGTTCTATTTTGTAAAAAAAACTTTTTCTCCATTACTTGATTTGGAAAAAAAGAAACAAAAAACATTTATGGTTGAATGAAACTAAACAAAAGCTATACAAAAACTGAGAAAAATACAAACATAACCAGTTACATATCTGGACTTTTTTTTAGCGAACATAAAGAACATGTTTCACATTATGGTAGAGATAAAACTATTCCATTAAATCTTCTAAATAAACTTAATATTGTAAAATAATAGAGAAATTGCTAACTTTGTTAATTGTTAATAAAAACTAAAATTGTTATGTTGGATTAAAAATCTAAACAGATTTTTCTTTTTGTGAAACACAAAAAGAATTAACAAAAAATAATAATAATAATACAAATTTTTATGAAAGGTAGTTTACACAAATTAAACGCAAAACTTATAAAATAATTTTTTATTTTATTTTATTAAAGTATACTTTGATATGCAACAAAATTAAAGTTAACCAAAAAATAAGCAATGGTGAGGTGTCTTTTCTCAACATTTTTTTGTCCTTATACAATTAAACATTTATTTGACATGACAAAACAGACCAAAATATATTTATTACCAAAATAATATACATATTAATAAATAACATATTTACAACAAAGTAATAAAAGAATCTAGCAAAGTTCTTTACTACATGTCTAAAAAAACAAACCGTTAATTAAAGAATTTAATCAAAAGAAACTTAATCAGAAGCTTGTTTATTGCAAAACATAAAATGTTTCAACTTAAGTGTTATTATATCTTTAGGATGTTTGGTGTTTTTTGGAAAGCTAAATAAATACTTTGTCTGCAGTTTTTTTTCCTATCAGATGTAAGTGTTATTATATCTTTAGGATGTTTGGTGTTTTTTGGAAAGCTAAATAAATACTTTGTTTTTTTTTTCCTATCAGATGTAGGAGTAAAACTCTTGATCAAGTTTTTAGAAAAATTGTCAAGCAAAAAAGAGACAATTATTTCTCCTTTAAAATATTACGTTTTTGCAGAACATGGAGCAGTGCAAAAACTCAGAAAACTGGTTTATATAGGATAACCAAAAAACAGCAAAAAAAACAAATTCTGAAAAGCTTATTCCAAAAAGCAAACTGGAGTGCAAAGTACACATTCTGCAATTTCTTAATTTGTTTATAGTTTATATGAAAAAATAACATCTTTTTACATAAAGCAAAAAAAAGAAAAAAGAAAAACCATTAAAAAACAATGTTAAAATGGAAACGAGAGATATGGAAACATTATTATTTTTTAATTGAGGTACATAAAGATTTAAGTGTGAATAACAACAGGATTGATGAAATAAATAAATTTGACAAAAATTACTTAATCAAACTTGACAAAATAATTTATTTAACTTTTATGTTATGTTGGTATCATTTGAATTACTTTTAAAATCTTGTTGCTCTATATAATAACAATATATCAATTATAAACAGTATTTTTTTTTATTTTTTTTTTTTATTTTATTTCACCTCCTCAAGGCCGAGAAGGCCACTACAGACGAGGAGGCTACTTATTCGTGGCTATGACACTCTCTCAACTCTATAGCTCCGAAACACGAACCTTGACGAACAAGGCCGCTGCGTGGAGAAACGAGTTGAGCGCGGTACTACCAGGGACGTGGTGGGGATCGAACTCGGAACCACTCTTTTATAAAGCGAGCGCTCTACCACTACACCACTACCGCATAATACCGTATAATAACAATATATCAGTTATAAACAATATAATAACAATATAATAACCCAATAACTTTTATAATATATAATTAATCCCAATAAACATTAGTTGAACAATAAATTTTCAATGAGTTTGTAAAGTTAGTTTCAATAAAGTTTCAATGAGTACTCATTGGTAGGTCATGATTGACAATGGATTGGTGGATCATATTTGATTTGGAAAAAAAATGATTGGCGGATCATTTGTAAGACAATGTTTGATTTAATTATTTTAATGCAGTTTAGAAGCTTAATTAAACGTTAATTAAATTAATTAAAAATTAAATAAACTTAAACAAATTACTCAATTTGTTTCAAATTGGTCAATCATGTGATTTTAACAAAATGGTAATCTAAAATTAATATTTTGTTCAAATCCAAAAAAACTACTGAAATTAAAAATAAAAGTCATTAATATTATGCAATTATTATTTTTTGTCAAAAAAATTTTTTTTTTTTCTGAAGCTGAATTACGATAGATAAAGAATTATTATAGATGAAGAATTATAATTATCAAAGCTGAACTTTGCAAAACTGTTGTCACTTTAAACAGTTATAAGATAATTAAAAATAAAAAACTACATAAAAATCTTCTGCCACATCATTATTTTTTTATTCTGTTTATTTTCTCAAAACTTGTTAAACAAGACTTCATATTATTTGTATGCAACAACTTTAATGTTTTTCAAACTTTACTCAAGTCTAAGTGATCTTGTATTATTATATATTATTATTATGTAGGTTTAAAAAACCTACATAATAATTGGAAACTCTTTTAACCACCTTCAATATAGACAACTAACGTTTGCTGAGATTTTTTCACAAAATCATCTTATATGATAATGTAGAATAGAGAAAGAGATTCAACCTGGGTATATGGTTTCCATGAGAAGTCAATAGTGAAAGATAATCAGAAAAAATGTAAAATAGAGGGCTCATTAAAAATATATTAATTTATCAGGAAGACCAACAATATTGCAATAAATATTATAAGTAAACAAGTATCGCTTGAGCTTAAATTCACCAGCCACTGTTAGCTCCAAGCTGTCACACAAGAGAGATCACATTCAAAATTAGCTGTCTGTTCTAAGCAATAAATTTTTTTTTAATTAAGACTGAAGTAAATAGTTGTATCATAAGTAAGAACCACTTTAGAAATTTATGAGAAAGATTATTAATTTAAATGAGAAACAACACAAAAAGAAAAAGAATAGAATCTAGCAGTAATGTTGAGGTTACTAGAAATAAATTATTTTAAAAATGACTTTATAAGTTGCTCTCTGGCATTTTAAATGTCAATTGCAATTACCTTTTCTTCATGTTTGAACCATATTTTGCATATGAAAAGGTTGTCAGTTTTAATATATATATATATATATATATATATATATATATATATATATATATATATATATATATATATATATATATATATATTATATATTTTTATACACATATATATATATATATTATATATATTTATACACACAATATATATACGCTATATATATATATATATATATTGTGTGTATAAATATATATATATATATATATATATATATATATACATATATATATATATACATATATAGTGTATATATATTTATACACACAATATATAAAATATATATAAAATTAAAAAAATATTAATAAAGTATTGTTAACTGTTTCTTAAAATTAAGACAATAGAGTTTTGTTTACTAAAGACAGCTTTGATATTGCAATTAAAAAAGAAATTAAAAATTTTTTTTGACACGCTATTTATATAGTAAAGAGGACCAGCAAACTTTTAAGTAACTCTTTAATATGTCATGAGCATTAGCTCTTGCCTCGCTGCTTCAGTCTAATGCATGATAAAATCTTCTTGATATTAAGGTTAGTTCTTTGCAAACAGTTCTATTTTTTCTAGAGGTATTAAGATCAGATTTATGTATGAGAGATTAAACTAAAAGTTTAATCTCTCATACATAAGAATGTTAGATTTGCCTTTGTTAATGAGACTATTAAAGATTTACAACAAGTTGCTAGAATCTATCATTTGTAAATAAAAAACAAGATAGAATAAGCTGAAAGCAATTAATTTTAGCATTAAACAATATTTTTTTTCAGGGGTGTGGAGTTGTAAAAAAAAAGTACCAACTCCAAAACTGACTCCAATCGTTGAAATTTTCAGAGTACAACTTTTATTCTGACTCTAACTCTAAAGCAAAATTTTTGAAAAATTCTTTGAACTTTTAAAAAAATATTAAGCGATAATCAAAAAAAAATTTTTTTTTGCTAAATATATGAGAAGATCTTTGAAGGTTAAATATTTTGTAAATGTACGTGCAATATCGAAAAGTTTCACTATTGGATTCAGAGTCGTGATTTTGTTTAGCAACTACAATTCCGCTAAAAATCTTGCGACTCTGACTCCACAGGCCTTTTTTTTTTTTTAATCAACTTTTTTCGAATTATAAAAAGAGGTTAATTCTTATGAAAGTAGTTTTAGTGAAAAAGATAAAAAATTAGTTACAATCAGATATATCAGCTGCAAAAAGAAAAAAACATGAGGTAGAGTAAATCTTGATTTGAAACCAATAAAAAGCTTACATACCTGTCTGAATTCAAAAAATTTCATTCAGGAGGTGCAATTTTAAGTGAAAAACTAATGCTAAAAAACCACCAAAATAAATAAAATAAGAGTCAGGTCTTACTTAATTGTAAAAAGTGTTATGATAAGATGAATCAACTGTTGAAGAATATAGATAAAAATTAAATAAAGTATGATCTGAACCACCTAAAGATAAATGAAAACTTAACACAAACAGGGAACAAAACACTAATCAAGAAGCATCATAAGCTTAGTAAGTGCTTTAAGTTGTCAGGAAAACAAATCAAGTAAAATTTAGTAAGTGATTTAAATTGTAAGGGAAACAAGTCACAAAGTTGATTATTCGGGTAAGAGATTAGAAAAAACAAAAGATTTGAAATTTACTATAGGTCAGCGTTACTATAAGTAGCCATGTTATTCAATGTAAAAAGCATTAAAGTCACAAAAAGCTACAACATTCTCAGATAGATAGAGAAAAAAGGCTTAGTCATTTTAATCAGACAACAAAAAGATCGCAGCTTTGGAAATAAGAAGCATAATTTGCAAGTTGCTTTGGTAAAATTTGTGAGAGATAAGAGATTTGACTAATAAATAAATCAAAGAATTCAAATATTTTTAAATAATAGAAACAATTTGATGGTTTTTTATGGTATACTTTTTGGTATTACATTTATAGTTTAAATTATTAAAAAGAACTCAACTTCAACATCGATTGCACTTAGCACTCTAAGTAATAAGAAATGCAGTTATTCTGCTTATCTGTTGATAAGTTATTATATTGTACATAAAAAAAACCATTAAAAGTTATTAAAAATATTATTATAAAAATATTATAAATATTTAAACTATTGATGTAATAAAAGTAATTAGAAATCATACACTGAATAATTGATTAAAGCAAATGCCATTAAAAAGAAATTTGATGTAATTGGTGCAATGGCATCTATTTTTCCAATAGCAATAAAAGCTGATCCAATTAATGCAGCCAATACGTAGCCCCATCGTGGCTCTTTGTTTCTACCATATTCTTTTCCAAAAATGCTGATACCAGGAAATATGTTATCTTCACATACTGCTTGAAACACCTTGGGAGCACTAACTAAAGATGAAAGTCCAGAAGACAATGTGGCCGCTATGATTCCAGCTAAAATAAGTGGTCCCCATAATGAAATTTTCTCCATGATCTAAAAAATAAACAAGCTTATATTTTAATTTACTATTACTGTATATTAAAACAAGTGCTTCATAAAATTTATTTTTAAACTTCATTTAATTTGCGAAATTATATAAAAATTTTAAAAATAACAATCATTTTATAAAAAAATTATTAAATTTTTTTTTTTTAATAATTATCAAAAAAAATACACTTTTTTCATTTTTAGGTTAAAAGAGGTCATTTTGAGACCCAACATGACATACTTTTGAAAAACTTTTTACATAATATTAGGGACCTGGTAAGTGTTCAAGGGTCTGGTGCTTCCCCTAAATCCAATAAAAATTTGAAAACATTTAACAAAGTTGCTTGTAAGAACCAATAGAGAGTTTTAAGAATATGAACAGATCTAGAATATAAAGGGCGGATGTCACACCCTAACACACAGTTATCATTTATACATAAATATATATGCAGGGCTCAAATTAAGCACATCGCGATTGCAAATCACAATTGCTTTTCACACCTTTGCAATTAGTTTAAAAAAAAATTTTTTTTTTTCGAAATATGTTTGTTTTTTTGTTGTTTTTTTTAGTTAACTTTTTTTTCTTTTTTAATTTAGCAAGTAGTCTTAAAAGTAATGCTTTTGTCTAAGTTTTTAATTAAGGGTCATAAAGTCTCGCTAAATTTATCTTTTGAAAAGAAGTATGATCTTTGTTCTCTTGCGCGGTGATTTTATTAAACATAAAGAGCATTTAAATTTAAATTACTTTAAATCTCTGCGTGGAAGCCAATATTATTTTGAAGTTATATTTAGTTTGATTTACTGAATGAATAAAGTACATCACAGTAAGTTTACTTTTAAACTAAATCAAAACAACCAGTTAAGTTACTACTGTAACTTACTGTTACTCAACTATTAAAGTTACTTAATATACTCAAAAACTTCCCATATTAATCTTTCTATTAATATCTTATATGTTGTTAACACATAATATAAGCTTCTAACTAAAAATTATTTTAACAAGAAATCTCAAATAGAATATAAAAAACACGATGCCATATTTTTATATTTTATTTAAAGCGATATCAAGATAAAACATTTTCTCTAAATACACAAGTTGTTTTTAGGAATTTTATTTTAAAAGAAATCTAATTGAACAAAAAATTTTAGCGTTCTAAAATACTCTTATTCAAATAATTTTGCATATGAAATTTAAAACTGAAAAAAATTAGGACAAATTTAAAAGAACTTTAATGCTCAATAATTATAAATTTGATTCAGCGGCATCTGTAATATCCAGCCTATAATACTTAGCATAGTGAGAATCGTTGCTGAAAGTTAATTGTATATCTAGCTACAGTAACAATATCAGATTTAAAATATAGTGCAAGTACGGGTGAAAGTTTTATTTAAATTGTAAACATTTTGAATAGTTATATTTTGTTTCATGAAAAAAAAACTTAAAAGTAGAAACATTCTATTGCAAATATTAAACTAAAAATGTAGCAACTCCGCAACTCCGACTCCACAGCCCTGCTTAAGGAAATACAATATGATTTAATAAACAAATTTTTTTTGTTTCACTTTTTATTGCAAATCAAATTGAATGAAAAAATTGAATGAAAACATCGACTTAAAAACCATTTGAATGAAAAACTTAATTATACTTAAATTTTTAATAATGCGCTACATCAAGAAGCAATAAATTGGAAAAAAAAAAAAATTGTTTACTCATTTGGTCTATAAGCATGTTTTTGTGCAAATATAAAGTTTAAAGTTAAATTCTATTTATTTAATTTGTTTTATTTTAAATTCGTTTTATGTTATTAAAGTTAAAAACCGTATGAAATAGCAATAAAACAGCGTTACGAAATTATTTTGCATTAACAAAAGCTCTTTATATTGTTAAAACAACTTTGCAATTGTTTTGTTGCAGTTGTTTTTATATTGTTAGAACAACTTTGCAGTTGTTTTACAATAACAATTAAATACTCTTTAAAAATATCATTTCATCATTAATTAAGCTTAATTATAACAGTAACTTACACTATTTTAAACTCCGTCAAACAAGAAGATTATAAGATAATATTTAAATATGAAAGATAATATGATAAAAATAACAATTAAGAACTAATATACAAAAGATACAATTTATACTAACACCCCCCCCCCTCATTACCGCAAAACGGCCTCAGTGATGAGTAAGGGGTGGGAGGCTATGGGCAAAGAAAATATTTATTTTGCGATTAGATTTTTAGCGTTAATTTGAGTCCTGATATATATATATATATATATATATATATATATATATATATATATATATATCCTTATAGTGTAGTTGAAAGAGACTTTTAATGTAAAAAAAGTCTCTTTCGACTACAATTTTGCTACCTCAACAATTAAGCTACATTTTATTGTTGTCGAAATGTCAAAGCAATTAAATTAATGCGGAAGTAAATTAAATTTTATCGCTTTTTAAAAAAACTGCAATAAATAAGGACTAGAAAGTTTTTTTTTTAATTAATGGTGTTTTTGTTGTTGTTTTATTAAAAAATATTTTTAAAACATGCACAGAGTGTTGCTACATCAACTATCTTATAGCCTACTGCTACATGAGAGTGTTGCTAGATTGACTCGCAACGGAGTGTTGCTACATTGACAATTTTATAGCCTCACTCGCAACCAAGTGCTGCTACATTGACTGAAAAATAGCTTCACACATTCAGGAAGTGCTGCTACATTGACTGAGGGTTTGGTTTGGGCAGGCAGTCTATCATTTAAGAAAAAAAAAAAAATTATTTAAGTTTTTAAACTTTTCCTGGTCTGGTTTATTAACTTGTTCTTTAAAACTACATATTATGGGAAAAAATTATATATATATATATATATATATATATATATATATATATATATATATATATATATATATATATATATATAAATATATATATATATATATATATATATATATATATATACATATATATATATATATATATATATATATATATATATATATATATATATATATATATATATATATATATATATATATATCTGTGTGTGTGTGTGTGTGTGTGTGTGTGTGTGTGTGTGTATGTATGTGTGTGTTGTAGGTTGCATGAGTCAGGAAAACATTAAGATGAGTTCCAAAGGATTGAAGTGCAGGGAAAAAACTAGACAAATAAAAGTTTTAAGAGAAAACGGGACAGATACAGTAAACAAACGAGACTTTGAGAAATGAGAAAAATGAGAAAGCAGGGACAAATACAGTAAACAAATGAGACTTTGTTGTATGCAGAGTTAAGTGAGAATGAGTTTTAGTTGATGGAACTAGAGATGATAGCTCTTTGAACAGCAACTGTGATAATAATTGTAGAAAGAGAAAGAGATTCAACTTTACGATGGTGGGAAAGAGGATTAGCAGATAGAGACTTTGATCAACCAAAGTCTCAAAGACCTTGCTAATAACAGAAAGAAGACTGATCGGATGATAATTGGAGGGGTTGACCTAGAATGTTAGACCTACCCTTGTTAGGCTGTTGAAGATTTTTGAAAAGTCTCTAGAACTTAACTTATGAGATAAGATATGAGATTTAGTGAACTGAGAATAATAAAGCTTAGCATCAGACAGCGCCTTATTACATCAATTTTATTTATTAATAAATAGCCGTTATTTCTCAGAGAGTTGTTTTTTTTAAAGATGAAAAAAATGATTACAGTTAGATATAGCAGATGCACAAGAAGGTGAAAGCCATGGAGTAGAATGAGGCTTGACTTATAATTGACGACAAGGAATAAAAGCTTCCATTCTTGCCTGATCCAGGAGGTTATATAGGAAGCAAATTCATCAGCCCAAGGACAGTCACAATAAAAATCATAAAAAGAATCTTAGTCAGCTTTAGGGTAGTAATAAGCAGTGCAATGGTAGGGTGAGCCCAAAAAGAAGTAGGAGATAAAAAATTTATAGAGATCAATGCTGGAGAAAAAAGAAAAACTTTGTTTTCAGTTTCTCCTTTTTCTCTTCCATTGATCTCTATAATTTTTCATCTCCTAGGATCAGAGACAAGGAATAAATGAAAGAGTGAAGGTAAAAGATTGGGGTTGTCAGGAAAACAAGTCATAAAATTAACTATCTAAGTAAAAGATTGAGAAATGTAGAAGTTATGAGCTTGAGTACCAGCAGGGTCAGTGGCGTTAGAGTCAAGCCATTCAGTACGATGAGCATTTAAGCTTCTAATAACAACAATATTAGCAGAGGGGTAAAGAGAGAGGACATGGCTAATTTAATCAAAACTTATATGTAAAAGAGTGCAGTTTTGGGAAGAAGGAGAATGATAAAAAACAAAGAGAAAAGTAATAGAGTGAAGAGGTGCTAAGCGAAAACACATAAAAGAATGGTCAAAGGATTCAAACATGATTTCAAGAAATAGACAAATTTATGCATATGTATACCCCCGAACGAAGCATGTGACTATTGCAGTCTTTGCAAATCAAAAAATAGTACACATTAACACTTCGATCTTAAGAAGGAATAGAGGAATTCAAATTTAATTAAATTTAATTTAAATTAACGATTTTTTTGCCGACCTCAAACACTTTAAGGTCTGCAGTTAGGTCAACATTGCAGAAATATCAAATATTGCTTAGTTAAAAGAAATCCAGCCATGCGGATAATTTTGTAGCTGTTGCTTTAATTTTTTTGTTTTGTCTTAAAAACGTCACTTGCAACCTTAAAAATGCTTTTAAAGATAGTTAAAACCATAAAAGCATTCAAAATCATTGTTAGGTAAAAATAAAATAATGCACAAAATTTAATACTGTGTAAATTAAATTTCGGGCATAATGCATGAAATATGATGTTTTCGATAATTTGTGCAGAAATATTTTACATCAAAAAAGTATTTGTTTATTATTATTATTATTATTATCTTTTACCTTTCCAAACATATTTGTTAAACTTGGGTGAACAATTAGTACTTCTTTCAAAGAAATGTCGTACTTCATTTTTGTAAAAAATGTAAAAA